GGAAGATAAAGTGGACGAACTGGACCACTCAAGCAAAGACTATGAAAAATTAAAAAATCCACAGGAATGGAATATGCAAGATGTGTGGGATACCATGAAAAGACCAAATCTAAGTATCATAGTCATAGAGGAAGAAAAAGAATTTCAGGTTATAGTACTGACAAGATCTTAAACAGGATTGTAGAAGAAAATTTCCCAAAATTAATTAAAGACATGCCCATACAAATAAAAGAAGCATATAGAACACCAGAGAGGACCAGAAAAGAGACTCTCCACACACATCATAGTAAAAACAAAGGTACAAAACAAGGAGACAATACTGAAAGCTGCAAAAGAAAAACAACAAATCACATATAAAGGAAAACCCATTAGGATAGCAGCTGACTTTTCAATGCAAACTATGAAAGCCAGAAGAGCCTGGACCAAAGTATTCCCAGTGTTAAATGACCACAGTTGCCAACCCAGATTACTATATCCAGCCAAAATGTCTATTATAGTTGAAGGGGAAAGAAAAATCTTCCATGACATAAATAGGCTGAAGGAATTCATGTCCAAAAAAACCCCTGTCAGAGAGTTCTGGAAGCAATACAAACAGCTGAAGAAAGGAATGACTATACCCAAGGGGTTGCGGAAAGAAATTCAATGAAGGTATAACTGGAAACGTATCACAAATGTAAACAGAAATAAAAATGACAGGATTCAATACTCATCTTTCATTAATAACTTTAAACATTAATGGACTGAACTCCCCAGTCAAAAGACACAGACTATATGAATAGATTAAGAAATAAAACCCATCTTTTTGTTGTCTGCAAGAAACTCATCTCACTTTCAAAGACAGACACTATCTTAAAGTGAAAGGATGGAAAAAATATACCAAGCAAATGGTACTAAGAAAAAAGCATACGTAGCAATTCTATATCTAACAAAATAGACTTTAAACTAAAGCTAATCAGAAGAAATAAAAAAGGCCACTTCATTCTGATCAAAGAAACAATAAACCAAGAAGATATTACAATCATGAACATATATTCACCAAACTCTGGTGCACCCAACTTCATAAAAACAATACTACAGGACTTTAAGACCCAGATTAATCCAAACTCATTAATAGTAGAAAACTTCAACACCCAACTGTCTCCATTAGATAGGTCAACAGGGCAGAGAGTTAACAGAGAGACATCTGAATTAAACAATACCATATATCAAATGGACTTAACAGACATCTACCGAGTATTCCACCCAAGCACCAATGGACATACTTTCTACTCAGCACCCCATGGAACCTTCTCCAAAATCGACCATATACTGGGACACAAAAACTTCACAAATAGAAAAAATTGAAAGAATTCCATGCATTCTGTCAGACCACAATGCAATAAAGCTTACAATCAACACCAGAAGAAGCCCTAATCACTACATGAACACATGGAAATTAAACAGCACACTCCTGAATGATGAATGAGTCAAAAGAAATTAAGAAAGAAATAAAAGTATTCCTGGAACTAAATGAAAAGGACTATACAACAAACAAAACCTCTAGGACATCCTGAAAGTGGTCTTTAGAGGGAAGTTTATAGCTCTAAGTGCCTACATCAAAAAATGGGAAAGAACACAAATAAATGACTTAACATTGCAACACAAGACACTTGAAAAGCAATAGCAAATTAAACCCAGACCCAGCAGACAAGAAGAAATAACAAAAATCAGGGCAGAAAATAATGAAATTGAAACAGAAAACAATACAAAGAATCCACAAATCAACAAATCCAAGAGCTGGTTCTTTGAAAAGATAAACAAGATTTACAGACCTCTAGCCCAGTTAATTAAAAGAAAGAAGGAGCACCTCCAAATCAACATATCAGAGATGAAAGGGGAAACATCACAACAGACACCAGAAAGATACAGAATATTATAAGGGAATACTTTAAAAACCTATATGCTGGCTGGGCATGGTGGCAACACCTTTAATCCCAGCACTCTGGAGGGAGAGGTAGGTGGGTCTCTGTGAGTTCAAGGCCAGCCTGGTCTACATAGTTCCAGGACAGCTGGGGCTATAGGGAGACCCTGTCTCAAAAAGACCAAAAAAATAAAAATTAAAACCTGTATGCTAAATTTTAAAACCTAAAAGAAATGGACAGATATCTAAAGGCATCAGGACAACTGAAACTAAACCAAGAAGAGATTTAACAGCTTAAACAGACCTATAACACAAAAAGAAATTGAAACAGTAATACAAAACATCCTGACTAAAAAAAGCCCAGGACCAGATGATTTACAGCAGAATTCTATCAGACATTTAAAGAAGATCTACATCCAATACTACTTAATTTATTCAAAAAGATAGAAATGGAGGGAGAACTTCCAAATTCCTTCTATGAAGCCAGCATCACTCTAATACCAAAGCCAGGTAAAGATACAACCAAAAAAGAAAACTACAGACCGACATCCTTAAT